AATTGACAAATGTCTAACTTATTTTCCATCTCTCGAGGGTAAAACAAGCTACAAAACTCATACAACTATTGCACATATAATTGTAGAAAAAATAAAATCTATGCCAATCATTCAATAATTAAAAACGTGTTTTAACGTCAAAATAAATAAAATTTAAGATTAAATGTTCATAATAAAAGGTTCATTGCAAATCATAGCACAAAATAATTTAGCCTAACATAATGTGAAAATTAAACAAAGAAAAGTGAAAAGACGTCACCAAAAATCGACCGAACGTGATCAATTCCTCAAATTCGTATTTTAGCCACCGACTTTCTTCAATTTTCTGCTCCTATGGTCACTGCCTATATCTTAATTCCAGCCGCCATTTTTGTTCGTGTAATTTCTCCAATTTTTCCCGTTTCCTGTATGCGCGTCTCTCTGTATATATAAGACAGCACCCCCTTTCTTTATTTCCAGCAGCCAACAATTGTTATGTAAATTTCTGATTTCTTGTTTCTGTCCGTGTATCTTTCATATACCTGAACAATTAAGCCCATCTGTTGTAGACAAATTAGGAGTCCAAGTCACATTGAATTTTGATTCCCAAACAAGTCCAATTGAGGCCAATGTTTTTATTTCCACTTCCGGCAGATTCTCCAAGTGCACTCAAGGCCCAATTTCAATTCCAATAAACAATTTATCTTCCAAGCCATGCAATCTTTCAAGTAATGCAATTTTAGACCTTGGATTTTCGTTTTCTTCCGTTTTGGTCCTTTTCCGTTCATTTTCTCTTGAATTCTGCCATATTCATCAACATTGTCCTACAAAATGAAATTATATAGAATTAAGCCATATTCAAACATGTTTATCAACAATTAGTCATGTTTTGTAAACCAAATAAGTGTGTAGAAACGTACTTATCATCTACCAACGAAGTTTTGAGCTAAAGGCACGACCTACCTACTATGATAGCCATATACGATCAAAGTAGGTAGGATGGATAGGGCTCAGCGCGGCAGTGTGCAGAGTTCGATTCCCCGCAAGGTGGAATTGACTTTGTTGCAAGCGAAAGTTACCATATGGGTTAACAGTCTTGGCCTATCCATGTGCTCTCCACCCTGGCTCCTGGGAGGCACATCCTGCGATTTACCTC